GTAGTTTGGGTTGGACGGTTAGGGTATAGGAGTTTGGGTGTAGGGGTGCTTTGGTGTTAAGGGTTCCGGTGTTAGGGCCTGGTTTCAGGGTTTAGGGTGTAGGGCATCGAAGCACTATAAAACCTAAATGCCCTGCAAAGAATACAGAAGGACCCCGAAGACACATATAAAGCGTGAATCACGAGGAAGCATTAGCATGTTGCGCCGGGTGTGAGGCAAGACGGCTTTTTGGGAAACATTTCATATGTCTGCTGTCAGCCTTACATCTTAAATGAAATGTTCTTCGGACGGTCTGTTGTCTTTGATCTATCTTTGATTGTTGCGACCTTTGGTATAGAGATGTTTCGAGCATAAACTTAGTAGCTGCGCATGTAGCCTTTGGTTCATAATATTATATAGTCTTACCATAATTAAAACGCTACACTTTGGGGGGGGGGGGGGCCTAAAACTCAAACCTGGAACTCTAAACCCTAAACCGTCACCCTGCCCCTACGAAAACATGAAGATGACCACGACGGGAGCTTCAGAAAGCTAGAGGCTCCCAATCTAGACCCGTGTATACTAGTGGGGGTTCAGGGTTTTGGGTTTAGTGTTTGGGCTTTAGGGGTTTAGGGTTTAGGGGGGGGGGTCCAAAGTACTTAGCTAGCATACCTACAGTCTCCATTGTATGTTTTTTGGTTTAGCCAGTTATACGTTACATAATATATAGCTAGGATCTTATAAGGTCACCCCCAAAAGGGAACTACAATGGAGACTATAGGTATACGAACCGTTTAGGGTTTAGGGTTGTGTAGTTATACTAATGAATACTCAGTCCCCTAAATGCAAGAAATACCCACTTGCAAAACTACTACCCTAAACCTTGGTACCTAATTTGCTCTTGGGTCCGCGGGTGTGCTGGACCTGTACTTCGGTAATATGACTTTACCAAAGGGGACCCCGGTTGAGGGTTTAGGGTTTAGGGTTTAGGGTTTAGGGTTTCGATGAAACTAAGGCGCGCGGCACCGACGCATCAAGGGGAAGGCTCGCTAGCAGATTGCTGTTAGGGCTTGGGTTCCATGACATAGTGTGCAGTCGGTAGGGGTGTAGTCGTATTGGTTTAGGGATTCAGGGTTCAAGGTCGTGGGATATCTTCCTGAACGTCCAGAATTCAAGCAAAGACTTAAACCCCAAATTATGATGGAGCAGAGCAGAGGTCGTTGCGACGGCTCTCCAGTCTTGTTTTAGCTTTCCCCTGGCCGCATTACATGGAAGCTCCTTATGTCCAGACCGCTTACAGGATCCCAAACGAGAGCCCCTAAACCCTAAACTGTGCAAAACGGGTATTCTATTGCAGGAACCTGATCAGGAAATTCTAGTCTGCGTTGTCTTTTGGGATCTTTTTTAATTTCCCCTACTATTTTGTAGAGAACCATAATAGTAAATAATTGTCAAAGGGCGTATAGGACAACTTAGTAGTTCTCCATCTTCTTAATCAGGTTCCAATACTACCAGCGAAGATCCTGTGCTTCTCCAGGGCTTGTACCTTGCAGACCTTTCATGCACGGTTTAGGGTTTAGGCTGGGTAGGGTCTACTTGGAGGGTCGGTAGACTTAGTAAGTAGTTATTTTCTAGACTTATAAGTATCATAACCCCAACTAGGATCCCTTTTAGGGTACTTATAAGTCTACTTATTACCTACTTACTAAGTCCCCCGACCCTCCAAGTACTGTTCATGGCTAGAGAGCAATGACCGGGAGCTCCGAACGAGGGCAATTGCATTAGCCTAAGGGTCCAAGTACCTAATAATCATAATGACTCTTCTCAATACTAACCTACAAAACTACTATCCGTAACCCAAGTATATGATTACTAGGTCCTTTGCACCCTATAGGTTACCATATCTCAAACAAACCCTAAACCAAGGCCCTAGACTCGACACCCTACGTGGAGGGTCGGGGGACTTAGTAAGTAGGTAATAAGTACACTTACAAGTACCCTACAAGACACCCGAACTGGGGTTATGATACTTAGAAGTCTACAAAATAAGCAGTTACTAAGTCCCCCGACCCTCCAAGTATAGACCGCACACCCCCAGACCCCCGTGCGCCATTTGTCGACGATGTGGACGTGGGCTGGAACCGACGCATAATCTTCGCAGACTTCCCGGATGGCATCCTGACACAGTTCTGGGAGATCCTCAAGGACAGGGCAGCCCCAGCGCTGTGGATCGGGCCATACAGCCCACGCAGCTTCAAGTGAGAAGTGTGAGCGTTACGACATTAAGGCGACGTGTATCACTGATGGCACTCTCACGGATTATGCCCATACTGGGAAACCCAAGGGGGTGAACGCCATCGGCCGCTTGTACACGAATCATGGCGATCCTGCCTCAGGCTCATCCTGGTCATATGAGGGCACATTCCATCCCAGAGGCACTCGTGCCGCGAGCGTGCCACCGGAAGCTTGGGAGCTCGAACTGAAACCTTGAGCCTTATACCCTAGACTCTAAACCCGAAACTCCTAAACCCTAAACCCTAAACCCCTAAACCCTCCCCTAAACTCCCCTAGAAAAGCTCGACCTTATAACCTAAGTCTATGAACCTTTCAGTAGGTCTCTAAACCCTAAACTCCCCTAGCCCCTAGAAGCTCGACCTTATGACCTAAGTCCATGAACCTTTCAGTAGGTTGGCTTTTGAAGGTGAAGGCAGGATCGTTTAGATTTAGAGCCAAGAGAGGGGCGAGGAGCGGCGGTTTAGGGGTTTCGGGGCTTAGGGTTTCGGGTTGTTTGAGGTTTAGGGTTCGGGGTTTAGGGGTTCAGGGTTTAGGGTGTTTAGGGGTTCAGGGTGAGCCCACCCCAATCGCGAAGCCATGAACCCTAAACCCTGAACCCTAAGTTATGACTTCGAAATCTGTGGACCATGTAAGCGTTGGTTGCGTGCCGTGCGCCTGCATCAGACATCCTGGAGGTGTGTTGTGGCGAGGGGCACGCCTAGGGTTTTAGGGTTTAGGGTTTAGGGTTTAGGGGCTTCCTTAAGGTTTCTGGTTCTTCTAGTTCTTGGGTTCTACCCCTTGTTGCAAACCCTTAACTTAAAACTCAGTAACTGTAACCAATGAAAGCTGGAGCCTGGTAACCTGCGACCATAAACTCTGAGGGTTAGGGAAAAGCTCTAAACCCTAAACCCTAAACCCTAAACCCTAAACAGAATCCTTGTCAAGCCCGGGCCAGACTTTTACAAAACCTGCAAGGCGCACTGTAGAGTTACATGGACCCAGAGGCTCCAACATCCCTTTATTAAGGAATAGACCTGAAAGGACTCCTTAAAGGGATCTATAGGGTTTCTATAAGGGTGCTATAAGAACTATCCCTTAATTAAGGAATATACCTTAAATCATAGTAGGATCCCTACTATAATTTAAGGTATATTCCTTAATTAAGGAATATACCTTAAATCATATTAGGGATCCTACTATAATTTAAGGTATATTCCTTAATTAAGGGGTATTGGGGTCTCTGGGGACCCTGAGGCTAAGGGTTTTGGGAACAGAACACCCTATATCCCGAAGCCTAACCTTCCCGAAACCCAGAACCCCACGGCCGTACTGTAAATTCTAGGTCGCCCTGCAAAGCCCTTACAGGAACCCCTATACCCAAAGCCCTAAACGCTAAACCTAAACCGTAAACCCTAAACCCTATAAGCCCTAAGCGTAAACCCTAAACCCTAAGCCCTAAACCCAAATAAGTTCAACCTGGAACCAAGAAAACCCAAACCCTAAACCCTTTATGAAGCCCTTAGACCCTAAACTCTTATAGATCCCCTATAGAACCCTTAAAGATCCCCTTAAGAAAACCCACCCTAGACCTTAAAAGCCCAAACCCTACCCTCAACCCCAAACCCAAAGAAGATCCAAACCCTATCCGCTCTGATTTTCTTCAGGCCGCCCTGGTCCTCCAAAAGACACACAGCAGCTGGGATGCCTTCCGCGATCCCAGAGGCAGCTTAGGTTTAGGGTTTAGGGGTTTAGGGTTTAGGGGTCTAGGGCTTAAGGGCTTGAGGGTTTAAGGGCTTAAGGGTTTAGGGTTTAGAGCTTAAGGGTTTAAGGGTTTAGGGTTTCAGGGTATGGGGTTTAGATCTAAAGTCTCATGGGACGTCGTAGGTACGGTTCGAAGTCAGGTAGATAACAGGCTCTTACCTACACATGACATAATGCCAGTTGTAAACTATTGACCCTACTTATGACCCTTTATGTAGCTTGGTGAGGAGGTGTGGGTGTTTCCGGCACTTGCAGCCCAAGTAGCTGCAGTTCCCATTCTAAGACCAATAAACATTTGTTTTGCGGCTCCATCTGGCAGTCCGAACAAGTGTCCCGTGGTGTAGTATGGCACTTTTCCATGAAGAATCCTTCATAATTCTTTTCGAAAGCACCCAAGACGCAGAAAGCCCGTCCATACCCAAAGCAATTTAACGAAGTATGTTTGAGGGACATGCCTTCATGCAAACTCCCCAATCTCTCGGCGCGCTTCACCTCAGTTCCAAGACCCTCCAGCATTGACATGGTTGCTTAAGACCCTAAACCCTAAACCCTAAACCCTAAACCCTAAACCCTAAACCGCGACTACAAGGCACCCTGCAGGAAGGGAGCCTCTGGATTCAAAACCTCGGCCTCCGTATGGTGACTAAGCCCTCAAACCCTCATGGCTATTGGGTTTAGGGTTTAGGGTTTAGGGTTTGAAAGTTCCAGGAACTCCTGGCCCTTCCGTCTCTTGCAGGAACGTCGTGCCTACAGCTGGCGATGTGGATCAAAAGAGGCCCCGCGGATTGCACAGGGTTATTGTAGCTCCGTAGATACCGAGCCATTGTCTACCCTCGTGCACTCCTGGCTACCGCATCACAAAGCTCGTTCCGAGAAGCTACCAGTCGTTACCACTTTCATGGTAGCGGAGCCTGTGGCGTGAAGCTGCAGGCTCGGTGTTCGATCCAGGGAGTTTGTGGCTCCAGAGGGGGAACTCCGGAGATACGATGAGTGGGACGACAGAGACCTCGTCAGCGGCGATCACCAGGACAAAGGACGGCGTCCCCTGTTGGGGAGGCGAAGCAAACACCTTTGTGCAGTATGAAGAGGCGGCTCTTCTTTGGGAGCAGTCGCTGACGTGGGAGAAGCGCTACACTGCAGGACCGAAACTGGTTCAAGAGCTTAGCGGGGCCGCAAAGAGATATGTCGCGGGGCAACCTGCGGGCTGGGTCGCCTATCGTGGGGGCGTGGAGCGACTCATGGCCTATCTCAGACAGGCCTTGGGCAAGCCAAGAGTGAACGAGGTGACGGACCTGCTGGCGACGTACTTCAAAGGGACGAGGCGGAAAAGCGGCGAGAGTATGAATGAGTACATCACCAGGAAAAGCGAAGCCTACATGCGGGCCAACCAGGCCATGAAGAGAGTGCAGCCGCACTATGAGACCGGTGCTCCAAGGCCCTCTACCTCTCCATGGGCAGCCGAGCGACGCCATAGCGGCGACTACTACAACTATGGGTGGGGACGGCAGTGGACCCCCGCCACCGAGACCGATGACCAGACAGCCGGCCCTGTGGAGGACGAGGCCACCAATGACGGGTCTACACGGGCGACCGACGAAGCAGGTGAATCCGAGGATCCACAATGGCGCCATGCCGCCCAGCCGGGGGCTACAACGGGAGCTGGAACTGGAACTCCTCTTGGTATGGATCAGGGGGGAACTGGAACTGGTCATCCTCGAGCTCTACGGCAACGTCGGAAGATGCCACCCAGAGGGCGGTTGAAGTCCTTCCGGCCTTCATCCAGGGGTGGTACCTGCTCATGGACGCAAACTTGGACCATGGGGAACGGAACTTGGTGGTGACGGCCTTGAACGGAAACTTCAGCCCTCAGCGAGTCGGCCAGGAGCTGAGGAACCAATTCCCGGAAGGGGAAACACGGCGGCGGGACAGCCGCCGGTTCCAGAGCTACCTCGGTGAGGCCGAGGACTACATCCCCGACGACACCGAGTTGGTTGAGGGTGGCTATGACGTGGCGGACCTGGAGGCCGATGGGTGGGACCACGAGGAGATCGCGCTCATCGCTGCGGCGGAGAACCAGGCCCAGGAGGCCCTGGCAGTCATGGCCCGACGCACCCTCAAAGAAGCTCGGCACAAGCAGAAGGTCGTGAAGCAGAACCGAAAGTACTATGGGAACTCGGGGAACCGAGGGTCTTCCAGCTTCCCGAGCCGGGCGCGTGACGACTCCAATCTGGATTGCCTCAGGTGCGGTCAACGTGGCCATCGGGCAGCAAACTGCCCTCAGAAGCCTTTGGGCACCGCTGCCCAGACTGACGTGGGAACCGCGGGCAGCAGCTCGCAGCATGCGCCTTTCGTCTGCATGGCCGAGGCGACGGTGGACCAAGACCTGAGCCAGATCTACAAGGAGAACTCCGGCAACTACGTGCAAGCAGCCTTGAGTGCGGGTGTAAGCCAGGATGCCCTCACCACCCAAGAAGCGGTCCGACGCGGCATGTGCGTCATCGATGGCGGCGCCACCCAGACCATCGGCAGCATCGAAGCGCTTGAGGCAGTGTTGGAGCAGAACCGACGGCGGCATGGAGCTTCTCGCCTGAAGGGCATCAATTCTGAGAATCCGCCAGTTTTTTCCTTTGGAAACAGCACCGAGAATCGGTGCTGCAGCACGGCGAAGATCGAGGTGTCGGCCAACGGCAAGCCTGGAGAAATCCAGGTTCACACCTTGGATCAAGGGCAAAGCCCAATTTTGCTTAGTGTGGAGGCTTTGCGGCGGCTTGGGGCTATCATAGACTTCCGAGAGGACTTAGCTGTGTTTAGGGCTTTGGATGATCAGAAGGTCTTACGGTTAGTCAGGGGTCAATCGGGTCATCAGCTTTTATCTTTGACGGAAGATTGGATGGCCAAGGCCGAGTCCGCAGCCAAAGCTGTCCCAGGACTTTCTTCTTATCTTCAAGGCTAGGGACAGCTCCTTCCTGATTCTGACCCTGACGGGAAAAGGAAGGTATGTGAGTTTTTATCAGGGACGGGGTTCCACAGTGCCGCAGATGATCACACTGAGAATGTTGTGTGTGCTACGGGTGGTAGTGTGCAGACTAGGGGTAGTGAGTTTTCAGATCTCATGTCGGTTTGTGACAAAGCCTACAGTGAGGGAAGGTGTGCCAGAGAAGCAGTGCAGTCCAGAAGCGGTGGCGAGCATGAACAACTCAGCCGAGATGGCAGCAATCCCGGCTCGCTTTGTAGTGCCTCTTGTTTACCTGTTCGCGCTCCTCGCCATGGACAACATGAACAAGGCCGACCTGATCTTGCGTCTGCGCTCCGATGGGGAGGAACCTCCCGAGGTGTGGTCGAAGCTGGAGCTGAAGCAGCGGCTTCAGGACCTCATCGAGAGTGGCGAGATCCCCGCCATCCGGAACGTGAAGGAGAAGACCGCCATGCAGAAGGCGGTGACGGAGCTCAACAAGCAGAACAAGAAGGCGGACCTGATCCGCTATGTGGCTTCGGAGTACAACATCGAGGCCACCCCGAACGACACCATCGGCACGATTCAGCGCAAGGCGATGAATGTGATCCTGGCGACTACAACGCCGAATGGGGGCGACCTGATGGGGTTCGGCAAGTTTGCTGCGAAGACCTACCGCGAGGTCCTGGACGAGGAGCCCAAGTACGTGGAGTGGGCTCGCCAGACCGAGATGGAGGGCGAGTGCAGTGTCTATCTACGTCGGTTCATCCGCTGGGTGAAGCTACACGCCGAGCAGGAGATGAACGAGAGGACTGCGACAGTGGCAAAGGCGAAGCAAGTGGCTTGAGCGGTACCAAAGCGCACAACGACCGCCACAAAGGGCTACTCCAAGACCAGTGCACCAGTGGAAGCAGCGAGCGGCAGCAACGATGCGGCGGTGACGGCGCTGACCAATGTTGTGGCCCAGCTGGTCCAGGAAGTCCAGGCAATGAAAGAGGAGCGCGCCGAGAAGCCCCGGAAGGTGTTGGCCAAGCCGGACACGGAGATGGAGGCCCTGAACCAGGACGGGGAATGAGCCTTCAAGCCTCCAGGGTTCTTGAGCACAAGTTTCAGGATGTGGTTCCCAATATGTTCGAGAGCCTTGTGAGCCAGCAGCGCCTTGATCTTCTGGAAGTCATGTGTGAGCCTGACAGCCTGTTGACCAAAACCTTCCAAAGCAGGACGGGCCGAAGTGATAGCGCCTGTAGGTGCTCATTGTGGTGTGGCCATGACCTCGCCACATCAGGAGGGCTAGCCATAGTTCTGGAACAGATTCGGACGGTGAAGCCTAGGAATGTTTGGATAGCCCCTCCCTGCGGACCTTTTTCGCCCTTGCAAAGCATCAACCAACGCACTCCTAGCCAAATCCAAGACCTGAAGGCTAAGAGAGCCAATGCCTTGCGGATCTATGAGAGTACGCTGGAAATAGTCAAGGTGTGCATTCAGTTGGGGGTGCATGTTACGGTGGAGCTTACGGAAAGGTCTGAGGCGTGGAGGTTGCCTGTTCTTCAGAAACTGAGGCTTCACATGGGTTTGCATACTTGCGTGACTAAGGGTTGTGCTGTGGGGTTGAAGGGACAAGAGGGTCAGCTTATGCAGAAGGGTTGGCGGCTCGTCACTACCCATGCTAGATTGGCTGACATGCTCTATAAGCCCTGCAGGTGCCCCACCAACTACCGCCATGCAAAGTGCGAAGGGAGTAACGCCAGGGATTCCAGTAGGTACACTTCGGAGTTCTGTCGGCTTGTGTATGAGGCTTTGCGGAAAGAGGGAGACTTCAAGGGGGTGATTCAGGAGTGTTCGGGGGAGTCGTGTCTTCATTCGGAATTTGGACATGGGCTTCGGTGCACCTGCGGCGAGAGCCGCGACCTTGGCAAATGCGGCAGCTGCCTGGTTCAGAGGACCCAGACAGAAGAGACCGAGGAGAGCTACATTAGCACCCTCGAAGCCCAACACCTCGAAGCCAAAGCTAAGGAACTGACCAGTAGGAGTACCCCGCCCAGCCTTGACCAGGTCCGAACCATACTTGAAGAACATCCCCTGAAGAACACTGGCAACTCCCGAAGAGACCAAACCCATTCATCCGATTACAACCTCTTTGGCGTGTATGCGCACGGAAATCACTATGGCCTTACCAACCGCACTCGTGATCTCCCCGAGCTGTGCCGTAGTATCAACAAAGCTCTTAGAAGTCAACTCCCAGCGGAATTGAAATGGAGCTCCTTCGCGCTGAACCATGGTAGCTGCCTTCCTATCCATCGAGACTGCCACAACAGTCCTGAGCACCCCAACGCAAGCATAGGGTTCGGAGAGTTTTCTGAGGGCGGCATTTGGATTGAGGGGAAGGAGTCTTTGTGTGGTCGAAGGGGCAAATTGTCAGTTAGGACGAACGGCAACGGGGACACTGTGGAGGGATGTGAATATGACATTAAGTTGAAACCTGACCGATGGGTGGTGACTGTGTTTGTGAGTAGGGGTTTCGAGCATGTGGGTGATGACGATGTGATTCGACTTCAGTCTTTGGGCTTCCCCACTCCCGAGAGAACCCAACAGGCCTACCCTGCGGTGCAGCGTAAGATCATTCAGAAACAACGAGACCCGGATGAAGTTATCAAGAAACAGCTGTATCTTCTGCATTGCGCCACGGGCCATAGTCCGCCAAAGCACATGGTTCAGGCTTTGAAGCGTAGGGGTGCGGATGAACGTACTCTGAAGTTGGCCGAGGATTTCAAGTGTTCTGTGTGTCAGGAGAAGCGTAGGCCCCAGACTAGGAACCTCGCGACCCTGGAGCCTCTCCCACCTAAGCTGTCTACCATCTGTGCGGACATAGGGCATTGGGTCCATCCCCATACGGAGGAGAGTGTGTATTTTATGCTTATCATTGATGAAGGCTCGAGGTACCGCACTGCTCGCATCATATCTAGAGGACCCCGGCAGGCTCCCAACGCCCAACAATGTCTCCACTACCTTCAGGAAGGCTGGGTCCAGTACTTCGGCTACCCGAGATGTTTGAGGCTCGACCCGGCAGGGGTTTTCCGTAGCCAAGCGGTAGAAGACTGGTGCGATCGTCACAGTGTGTTCCTGGATATTATCCCAGGAGAGGCACATTGGAAGATAGGAGCTTGCGAAAATGCTGTTCATGGCGTCAAGGAGATCATGCAGAAACTGTGCCTTCATGACACAGATCTGACAACCGAGGAGGCATTGTCAGAAGCAACTGCGTGCTTCAATCAGAAGGAGCTGATCAGAGGTTTTTCGCCGGCACAGCACGTGCTGGGACAGGCGCCAGACGAGACCGGACGCTTCCTTACAGGGTGCAAACAGCTTCCGCCCGACCTGTTGTGTGAAAACAGTGCTGGGGAGTTTGAGCGCGCCGTCAAGCGACGCAGCGAGGCTGAGAAAGCCTTGTGCGAATGGCAGGCGCAGCAGAGGCTCCAGAGGGCGAAACACTCACGGCACAGGCCGTGCTACGACTACCAGCCGGGAGAGCTGGTGTTTTACTGGAGGTGCCAAGATGCCCAGAAGGGGCGGCGCCAACCTTGTGGCAAGCATGGCCGTTTTCTGGGCCCAGCAAGGATCCTCGCGACCGAGTCGCGACGCGACGAAGGGGGCAACCTCAGGCCAGGTGGCTCCGTGTGGCTGGTGAAAGGCCGGAGCCTCCTAAAGTGCAGTCCGGAGCAACTGCGTCGCGCGTCAGAACGAGAAGAGCTACTCGAAGCCATGGCGGCCCCTCACGAACAGCAGGCCCCCTGGACCTACCACATGGTGGCTGAGCAGATTGGAGGAAATCGCTACGAGGACATATCTTCTGAGATTCCCCAAGTGGAGGAGTGGCAGCGAGCGCAGAGGCCTGAGGACGAGGTGCAACCAAGCCGTTTCCAAGGAGAGCGACAGCCACCAGCAGGACGAGCTACGGAGGACGTGGACATGGAGCAGGACGAGAACGCCCGAGCCCCAACAACGAATCGGGAGCGATCCCGAAGCAGAGGACCGAGAGCAGCGGCCACCTCCTCAACGCCTCCCGCGACGGCCTGGTGGTCCGACGTGAAGGACCCCCAGTGGCCATCGGAACAGAGCGCTTATTGGAATGACACTCAGGCGGCCGTTGAGATCGAGATTGACCTCCCCGAGAGCAAGCGAGGACTCAACAAAGTCTGGAATAACTTGAGCACGCATTTCGTTGGAAGCTTGAAGCGGAGGGCCGTGGAACTGTCTGAGCGGCGCATGACGCCGCAAGAATTGGAGGCCTTTCGCGGGGCGAAAGCCATCGAGGTCAAAAATTTTGTGGCCTCGCAAGCCTTCGAAATCCTTCCGAATCACCTTAAGCCCGACAAGGGCCAAGCTATCAACATGAGGTGGATTCTCACTTGGAAGCTCCGTGAAGACGGGAGTCGGAAGCCAAAAGCCAGAGCAGTGCTTCTTGGCTACCAAGATGGGAGCTACGAACACCGATCGACTACCTCTCCAGTGATGACTAAGCAGACCAGGCAACTTTTATTGCAAATGTCAGCATGGAAAGGCTGGCGGGTGCGAAAAGGAGATGTGACTGGAGCTTTCTTGCAAAGCAGAGCTTACCCGGACAAGCTGTATTGCATTCCTTGCCCTGAGATCTGTGAAGCGCTCGGCATTCCGGCCGGAAGCGTGACACGGGTCCAGAAAGCTTGCTATGGCTTGGTGGATGCTCCCTTGGAGTGGTACAGATCAGTGGACACCTTTTTGCAGCAGCTTGGTTTCGAGCGTTTGTGGTCGGACTCATGTTGTTGGGCTCTTCGGGCCAACGGAGAGCTTCGCGGGCTCATAAGCGGCCATGTGCACGATTTTCTCTTTGGGGGAAAAGAAGGGGATTCCTTGTGGGAAGAGAAGCTTAAGGCCATTAAGGGCCATTTCAAATGGAGTGATTGGGAAGAAGGGAAGTTTAACGCAGCGTGGCGTTGTGGTTGAACAGTCCGACACTGGGTTTGAGCTGTCCCAACCGAACTACCTGGACAACATTCACGAAATTGGCATTAATGCTACCCGTAGGAAAAACCGAGAAGACCCCAGGAGTGAGAGAGAGCGAACCCAATTACGCGCCTTGCTAGGAGGATTGAGTTGGCATGCCCAGCAGGTCGCACCTTACCTTGCGGCGGAAGTAGGGTTGCTTCTAACCGAGGTAACCCGAAGCACGGTGGACACCATGGTGCGGACCAACATGCTCCTGGCCCACGCGAAGCAGAAGCAGTCCTACAGGATGAAAATCCACAGCTTCACCCCCGAGACCCAGATCATGTTTGTGGCATGGGTCGACGCGGCCAACGGCAACAGGATCAATGGTGGCTCCACTCAGGGGATCTTCGTGGGAGCCACTCCCACGAACATCATGCAAGGTGATGTGTGTGATGTAAGTCCGGTACTATGGCACAGCCAGAAGATAGACCGGGCTTGCCGCTCACCCGGAGCGGCGGAGTCCCAAGCTGCGGTGAACGGCGAGGACGATCTGTTCTCCACAAGATTCCAATGGAGCGAAATGCTGCATGGTGGCAGGCCGAACCTTCACAATCCTGAGGAGACAGTCAAGATGGTGAAGGGCTGCGTGGTGACGGACAGCCCAGCATCGAATTGCTGGCCCTGAAGGAGGCCCAGTCCCGAACGGGCGTGCAGATGCGCTGGGTGCACAGCGAGGCCCAGCTCGCAAACTCTTTGACAAACAGCAATGGACACCGCGAATACGACCTCTACTACCGTATGGGTCACAAGTGGCGATTGGTGGAGGATGAATCTATGATGTCGGCACGGCGGAGGAAGGAACTAGGGTTACAACCTTTGGAGCAACCGGCTAAGAGATCTGAAACTAGCGTGATTGATGTGGGGTGTGATCATCAGTCGGCAGAGCCGAAGAGCTCTACTAATCTTCTCCAGAAGGAGAGGAGGGCATGAAAGTTCCAGGAACTCCTGGCCCTTCCGTCTCTTGCAGGAACGTCGTGCCTACAGCTGGCGATGTGGATCAAAAGAGGCCCCGCGGATTGCACAGGGTTATTGTAGCTCCGTAGATACCGA